AGTGCTCATCTATGCCGCAGCAATTTGGATTATTGCCAAGAAAGAAAATAATGCATTATTCTCGTTTAAGGCTCTTGGATATGGACAAACTGATAAGATACTTGGCACTGGTCTGCGCCAAGACTGCAGCCAGTCTCTTTTCCTGTTTGTGTTGTACATAGAATAATCAGGCGCTGAGTGTATCGGTTTAGATGTGGAAACGAGAAGGTTGTTGTTTGCAGAGGACCTTGTTTTACTGGCATCTTCGGAAACTGATCTTTAGCGCCGTTTCGTGGAAAGTTTCACAACCGATTGCTGGCATGCACGTGAATTTTCTTAAAACGGCATGCCTTGTGCTTTTTCGTTCTTCTGCTCAAAATGCTAGGCAGATAACCGGAGATGCAATGGAATAGGTGGAGAAGTTCACGCACATCACGGCGTGGGAAAACAAAAGGAGAAAATCGACCGACCAATTAAAATGACCAGCAGCATTCTGCGTCACCTGACTAAAACAAAACTTAGTCAGAAGAGTTAGCTGCCTGTGTTTAAGTAAGTCTTCCCCGTATGGTCATTTACGGCCATGAGTCGTAGGCCATCAATGAAAAACTTCGATACCGGGTACAAGTTTTGAAAGAATCTTATTGAAACTCGACAAATCGCTTGGCGCACGCACTTCGAGATGATGAGGCAGATATCTGAGGGAGCCTTAGTGTATATCGTTGCTTGCGTCTCCATCGAGGGAAGTCACCGTTGCGATGATTTGGGTACACCTTGCGAGTGCTTTCAGGAGAGATGGTGACACAGCTACTCCTTGCCCAACGGACTCACCGAAGGCACATGGAAGGGCTAAGAATTTACCAGAACTGGGAACTATTGTATCGAACGATTCAGGTTATCTTCGGCAGTATCTGAAATGCTGGTTCAGGATCTTGACGTCTAATGCATCTGCCTCCTCGACCCGACAGGATGAGCGATCATCGGAACTGATTGAAGCTGTTACGAAAAAACTGAAGAGTGATCACATTTATTCGATCCAGGTGGTGTGCTAGTAAGTAAGGCATGCGTTATCATCTTCGATGCCACGCGATAAGACAAGAAACAGGAATTATCTGAGGTATCTAGTATCATTTTACTCGCTAAGAAGCCACCTCATGTTCATCATGATCAAAGTTTCAAGAGCTGGCACCGTAACAGACAAATGCCAAAAATTAACGTCAACCTATGTCCATACCGGCTTCCGAAGTAGAGCACAAAAGTCTGTAGCCGGCTTAAATGACTCTTAGACAAGAAGAGTAAGGAAATAAGGAGTCTCCTTGAAAATAAGGAGACAATGCAAATAGCCGTAATATTTGGTCTTGAAGGAATTACATGCCAATTGTTACTCTTCGGCGTACAAAAACTTTGCTGTTTTTTCGTACTGTACTGTAGTTTAACGCTTATGTTAATTGTGTTCTGGTGTTCATGCCTGCTTCAACTTCGGATAATCCGTTCAATGAAATATTTAGAACGCTGCCTTCTGCGCGATCTTCGACCTTAATCGTTTTTTGCCCATAGAGAATAAGAAAAATATTTCTAAGATCACTTTTACATATTGGCGAGATTCGAGAGCGTACTGCCATACGTTTGGTGCTCTTGTTTGCTTACGGTCAGTTCAACAGTTGCACAATGATCGTGTCGTCCGTAATATTTCATCTGCTTTCAATGAAGCCCTTCGCCAACCGTAGCGTTTTTTTGTTAGTCTATCCAAAAGGTGAAAAACTGTAGATCTGACTCGCATGAACTTGGTAAGAGTTTGTGGGCTGCCGCTACACCGAACTCCGCTGTTTAAAAAAAGAAACATACAACCACTGGTCTCTATAATTAAGTAATCTTCATTTGATGAGTCAAATGTTCGTCGCTCTCGAAGTAGTGAATTTCTTAATAAAGGAATTTAATTTTTTTCTGACTGCAACGACTGTAGAGTGGCTATGCACCTCATTATTAACGTCTGAGAAATGAAAGCAGCTTCGTCTTTGCTGAAGCCTTTCGCTGAATGAGATAATGGATGTGTTGCATATACCACATTGCTAAATGTTGTTCGATCGTAGTGAAATCAATCAGAAGTAAAGATTCGGTAAATTCCAATGAAGTGATCGTTAGAAACATCGCTATCGAACTTTGAATGACTGACTAAGAAACGAGTGCTAAGTAGTTGGCATGCACGTG